CTCTGCAGCAATGGGATCATGGAGGTCACCAAAATAAGCAACAAGCAGTAGCTTTATCTTGCTGCTTCTGGTAGTAGGAAAGAAATGAGTGTTGCAGATGCTGGTGAAATTGCTGTTCAAGGGAAGGGGTTTGCTGGCACATCTTCATCACTGAAACACTTCAACAGGTCTATAAATTAGAATTTAGCAGTTGTAGTTCTGGGAACAAATTTCTTAGACCTGTGAGGCCTTTAAGGGAATCCTTAAGCCGTTGTGACTAAGAACAGTGTCAGAGGCTCTGCATTTCAGCTGTCCCTTGATCTTAGCTGATGAGCAAGAAAATAGGTATTTCTGATGGACTTAAGATTTCATTCCTCTGTATTTGCAGTGATTCATCCTGTAAAGAGCAGCTTTATGTATGCTGAAGAGCCAGTTGGAAGCTGCCTATGTCTCATACGCTTCCTTTTGTTCTAAATGCCTCCTGTACTGAAATGTTCCTGTGAGTATTTCTAGGGAGAGCAATAGACTGAGAAAAATGCTGCCCTGCAGCAATGAGCATGTATCATGTCAGTGTGATCATCATCATCACAGGATGTGCAACAAAGATCCACCTCTAGATTTCTGACTCAAGCTTAGTGTAGGCAAGGGTAATGACAAGAATGCTTGATAGCATGTGATGCATCTCTCTCTTTGGGGTACTTAAGGGAAAACAGCACTGTGAGTCTTGACCTGGAGGAAGGGGATTCACCAAATCAGAAACTGGTAAAGCTTTGGAAAACACTTCTTAAGGTTCATTTTATACTTATTGGGGCATAAGTAATAGGAATGGCTTATTTGCAACAGCGTAATTTTATCCCTTCTATTCTCCTGAACCAGTACATAAATATTTCAATTGCTTCCCTGCAGAGAAGCCTCAAAAGAGGAAAGCAAGTCCAAGTCTCTTGCCCATCACTTTCATCGACACTGCATTCCCTCAGAGCACTGGGTGCCGAGTGAAGGGACCTGACGGGAGAGATTAGCCTGCAGCAACAGATGTGGTTTCTTGCCAAAGATAATACTTGCGATACTTGCAACACAGGACAAACAGAGCTCAGCTTTAAAATGCTCACTTTGCAACTACTGCATTTTAAAACATAATCAAGACTTCTGTGGCTAAGAAAGTAATGCTTGGCATCATGATACTCCAACACGTACATTACACTCATGGGAATTTAATCATCAGCAGTTACCTGAACTGTAGCTTCTTTTGGAAAACAATATGTGGTTTTCAGGTCATGACGACCATAACCAGTAAAAACCTGCAGTGGGATGCAGCTCTTACTGTGAGAGATGGGCTGTTAGTACAGTGTTAACCATGCACAGAGCATCCTGACAGGAGAGAAAAATTTATCCTATTGAAGATAACAGTGACAAACTGACAATCAGAAATTGCCTCTGTCAGGATAAAAATCTCTTTAAATTTAGTGAAGGAAAAATGAAATAATGGTCACTTAACAAAACCAATGAGAAATATCTCAGAAAATAAATGACAGAGAACAGCTTTAGAAGGAGCAGGTGAATCTGGTTCTCCTGAAGTCAGTGGGCTCAATAGCATAAAGGTGGTAAAATTAAAGGAACTATAAATAAAAATGCTGGTTGAAATAAGTTACCTGAGCATACTATAGTTGTATATCGCCCCTATATTATCATCTATAAAGGAGACCCTAAAATAATGATTCACATGTGATGATTACTTTGGAATTTTCAATATAGGCTTCAAACTGTATATATATATATTATAGGACTCCAGGGTTTCATAAATCCTAATTCCCAGGCACAAAGGAGTAACTAAAGATCTCAGGCACTAATTGACAGGAATACTACTGTGCAAAATGGGGATAAATCCATCCCACCCATATGAAGTTGGTTGCCTTTGAGGTCTATGAAAACATGTCTCCATCCTACCCAAGTACTGGCCAGCATGGAAGGTTGCTGCTCACCTACATTTCCTGTCCAAGCACAAGGAGCCCTTCCGTGTGCTGCTTAAAACAGCAAGTCCAAAGAACTGCATGAAGGTGGGTGCATGGCCTGTCCTCCTCTCCCTTTACAGCTTTCCCAGATGGATCTCGAGCTATTTTAGGGAAGTGTCTAGCTTGATGTAGTTGGTCCTGAGGTTTCTAATACAAAATGACCAGAAATTAAAGAACTGGACTTTCAGAGTTTATGAAAATCAAACGGAAATTCATAGAATTAGTTATGGAGTTAGGGTTGGAAAGGAACTTAAGATCATCAAGTTTCAACCCCCCCTGCCATGGGCAGGGACACCTCGCTCTAAACCATATCACCCAAGGCCTCGTCCAACCTGGCCTTGAACGCTGCCAGGGATGGAGCATTCACAGCCTCCCTGGGCAACCCATTCCAGTGCCTCACCACCCTAACAGGAAAGAATTTCCTCCTTATATCCAATCTGAACTTCCCCTGTTTAAGTTTTAACCCATCTGGGAAAGGAAAGTATGAAGTTAATCAGTCTGCAAGATTACTATCCCATCTTACAGCCAGAAGTAGTTAAGGCAGAAAAATACAGTATCTTTAAGTGCCAATAACTTTTCCAACTAGTGATCTTATTCTGGCTATTCAGAAGGGAATATAAATCCTGCTGCTTGTCCAAATCCTGATTAATAAGAACCAGCTGAATCCTAACAGTGATACCAGCATTTAATTTTGACTCAAGCTCGTAATTTTCGTTTGTGTTGTCCTTTTTCACTATCTTTTTCTACCACTGTACAAAGAAATCTGAAGCAAATGAGGTTTTCAGCAATTGTAGTGAGAAGATAAAAATAATCTGGTGTGTCATGATCAGATTCCCAAAGATAGATTTCTTAGAATCATGGAATAGTTTGGCTTGGAAGGCACCTTAAAGCTCCTCCAGCTCCAACCCCTGCCACGGGCAGGGACCCCTTCCACTGGAGCAGCTTGCTCCAAGCCCCTGTGTCCAACCTGGCCTTGAGCACTGCCAGGGATGGGGCAGCCACAGCTTCTCTGGGCACCCTGTGCCAGTGCCTCAGCACCCTCACAAGGAAGAGCTTCTGCCTAAGATCTAACCGTCATCTGTGATGTTTCTCTAGATCTTGAATTTGGGGTATTCTTCCCTATTTCTAAATCTATTTTACCTTCATGAGACCTGTGGAATTCTGTTACCTTCTTAATGATTGAATTCCCTCTCTAATGATTTACTTTACATGGCAATATGGAAATCTTGACAAGAAAACTCATGTCAGTCAAATTCATTCTACCTTATTGTAACTGCATTGAACTCATTTTGTTAGAAGTCCACATAAGGTATGGGAATAATACTTTAAATTAAATGTTAATACTTTCCTTTAAATCAATGCCATGAGTTGAACTGAATGCATAAACAACAGGTAATTGGGCAGTTGCTCTTTAGTGGTTTGACTTTTATATTCTTTGACATATCCTGTAAATGTGAGAAATGTCATTTCTGGATGACTATTGGACATATGCAGTGGACAGCAGTGAGCTGTGTCCTGCTACACGAGCTGACATGAAAAGATTGGGGAGGTATTTGTATATCTCCTCACTGCAAAGCCTGAGCTCATTGTGAAGATTGTGAAGATGTAGTGATGCTCAAACCCCTGTACTCCACATGCGTTCCCCATTTAATTTGTATTCAAAACAATTTCCTTAGAATTTCTAAGTTATCTGATACAGAGATGTGAAATATGATGGGTTTTGTCATATACACTAAGCAAATGTTTGATCTGGGGGAAAGAAAAGCTTTCAGCTTGGAAGGTGTTTTAGTAGTTCCTAGTAATGTTAAAATTGGAAGTTACTAAAGAGGTGGAAAAAAGGTTTTTTCTTTCTCTCTGACCCTTTAAAATCTGGTACAATTTTGATATAAGAGGGTGAAGTCTCCTAGGAACAGGGTCTGGAGTAGAGCTTGTCCACAACAAAATCTGCAAATACTGCCTTATAAAACAAGGTCAACCAGGGAAACATTGAAAGAGTTATACAGAAATCTGTGTAACTGTTGTAATGCTCCCTAGAAGCACAAGTAGTTCCTAACAAGAGAAATGAAAGTCTCCTGACATCTAGGGTACTTTACCAAGGAAAACGCAAGGATCTTAGAATTGCTTAGACCTTTAAGCCATCTTTGTTCTTATACTTTGGCTCATTTGGACATGATCAGAAAAAGAAGACAAACAAAGAGGATTTCATCTTTGCATTCTTGCACTTGATGCTGCATCATTATCTATGAAGAGGCAGAGCTGTTGTGTAGACTGTGGTGCTGCACGAATTCTTGCCCATGTGCTTTCATACTTCTTATGTTTATCCTCAGGATTTACTTAGGATTAAAGTAAGGTTTGTGTGCAAATGTGTTGATGTTATGCCAAAGGCCCCATACCTCTATTTTTTTTTTTTTGCCTGCTTGTTTTCTGTTCTGAAGTGTGTTAAGCCTAGAAGATTGCTTTGATTAATTGGAAGGAGAGCAAACCATTGCAAAGCTGATCTGCAGAAGTTTTCAGGATGCTGGGAAACAGAACCTATTTGTTTGCACTCTTACTTGCCTTTTTATCCTCATTTGTTCATTGTGTTTTTGTGCGTGCATGGCTCAAGTGGTAGAAAAACAGGTGCATTTTCATGAGTGTTTGCAACCCCTATGAGCTCCAGATCCTTTTCTCTTTACATAATCCTTTTTTGCATCTTTTTTCATGGAATGAGTAGATTAAAAAGCAGTGGGATAATGGAATTGTCATCCCCAGGTCCAGTCTGTGACTGCTACTATGACTAAGGGCAGATACGCACTTGCATTCCATCAGGGCTGGACAGACCTGTGCATCCCCTGTCTAAACAGGACTGCTCTTCTGGGCAGCAGTTGGGCTGGTTTGATACTGATTTGCTGGGCAGCACACTCAAGCACCAAGCAATATATTCCTGCTGGTAAAATCTCATATTCTCTGGAATTCAGTCCTGCCCCTGATCGTGCCGATGTCTTGACATACTCTTTTTTGTTTCCTCTCCAGCACCAAGTGTCTGCTCCACATGCTTTCTGGCTGCAGCCTCTCCTTTATCTGCAAGTCTCCCTGCCTTCTCTTTCTACACGTTGAGACCAGCTGCCTCAGAGTTGTTGCCACACCTGAGCTTTGCTGCAGTGCACACTGGACCTCTTGTCTTAAGCATCTTGGCTTTCATCTTCTGTGGAAGGTATTTACACTTTACTGTATTAATACATTGCAAAGTGTCTCTTAATGCTAGACAACTGCTGGCAAGCACGAAGAGAGGTAGTAACAAAATGCAGTGGATTCTGTACATTAGAAACAGAATCTATATTCAGAAAAAAATAATTCAAACTGCATTTCCTTGCACTGAATAAGCAAGTATAGTGTCTTGATTTAGGAGGTTGCTTCATTCCTATGCTCTGAAAATCTCAGCTCTGCTTTAGTTGACACCCTGACACTAAACCTATGAGGCCAGAAAAATACAGACCGGTCTCCTGCACTATGCAAAGTTCCCAGCATCCTGAGTGTGCCAGGCAGCTGCTGCATAAAAAACATCTAACTAATGCTCCCAGAGAGCAAAGAGAGCTTGAACTGGGTCCATATTTTAGCTGTATTGTGTGGGCTTCTGGGAGCAGACCCAGTGAGCAGTGGGTGAGTAGGAGTTTTCTGTCTTTGTATTATGTCAGAATTTGAGGGGAGGCAGCTGCTGTGAATGTTTTAAGACAGGAGGTTTTTCTTTCCTAACCAGACACTCAAGGTGAAATTTAAATGTGAGAAGAGGTTTGTCTGAAACTTGAACCAGTGGCCTCTGAAGCCTGAGCACTCTGCAACATCCTTACCTCACAGAAAGCTTGCTGACAATCTGTGCAATGTACAGTGAAGGGACTGATGATAGAGTGCAAATGTCCTCCCTGGCTGGGAGTCTGCAGCTGTCTCTGAGATAAATGCCTGTGTCTTTGGACAGTTCTGGTCATACACTTAAACAGAAAAGTGCTTGTAAAGAAAAGATTGATCTTTTCTTGTACTTTTCACTCTTTTTATATGTGGGAATCCTTTAAGCAAAGAACGAAGTGCAAAGAAGTTTAAATGAAGTTCAGGTTTCAGCAACCCCTGCTTATGAACAGGAAACTGGCAGCTGGACTAACCTGTCAGCCTTGACAATTCTTGAAAGTCTCTGTTTGGCAACACACTCATGTTAGGTACATTCGTGGGGTTCTTACATGTTCATTTTCTGCTTGCTGGCATCATCTGATTGCTGAATGCATTCTTTGCTGTAGTCAGAAAGTATAATGGAGAAGAGGCTTTTAATTGTGCACTTGAATGTTTCTTCCACTCCTTCTAGAACTCTTTGGCCTTGTTGTAAATCTGAATAAATCTAAATGCCTAAATAGCAAAGCAATGCTAATTGCTGATGTCATCACACACTTTTACACTCTTCACCTTCCCATGGGGTTCACTGACTTCCCCACTAGGCAGAGTTTGAAATGTTGGACTTCCAATAAAGGTAGTCCAGGATTAGAAGATCACTATTACTGTGTTTACCAGTCTATTATTTTCCTTGCTGTCTTTTCCTAGGGAATCATAGAATGATTTGTGTTGGAAGATGGGCAGGGACACCTTCTATTAGATCAGGTTATTTTTTTCGTATTAGTTGTTATTATATTAGGTATGCACCTTTATTATTTCCATCAATAGACTGAATTTGTAAGCTCTTGAAAATGGGCTGACTAAATGGTTGTAACAAGGTTTCTCACCTACATTGATCAAAACAATCTTGCAGAAGCCGATTATACCAAAACTTCTCTTAGTTCTGTATCACATCCCTTATAGAAGATATCAGAGAAGGAGTCAGAGTGGGAAGAGGCACTTCTGAAAGCTGTGGAATGGTAACTTGCTATAGGAATAAGAAGCTACCAGAAATAATAACTTGTAAATAATATTTGAAGGCTATAGCTGGTTAAGTGCAATACAGCTTGAAGTTCAGATCCTGCTTCTTCCAGTTTAGTAAGGGAAATGGGGGTTGAAACTTGATGATCTTAAGGTCCTTTCTGACCCTAACCATTCTCTGATTCTAAATATGTTGCAGGTGTTGCATCTATGTTCTTAGCATGCTAAAATGGGTACAGCCTTTGGTTGCTTAAACTACTGAGAAGGATGGCAAGTTCAAAACCTGTAAACTCATCAGCTCAAGGCAGCGTAGCAGCTCTCTGTAGTATGCAGTGCTGTTGCTACCACTGCTACAAAATGGAGTGTGTTGTTAAAACCACTGTGGATAAGGAGTTATGGCCTGCATGGAAGAGTGCCATCTTTGCGCTAACTTAGATGTTAAAAAATGCTAACTTGAACTCACAGATATACTGATTATCCTGCTAAAAGAAGACCTGGAATCTCTTCCCAGAATTACAGCATTTTAATTAGAAGAATGTGAGCGAAGTCTTAATCTTGTTATTAGGGGTGGACATGGATAAGACAGAAACAAAATCCACGGCAACAGAGCCTAAACACAAAAATCAATGGTTTGAAGACTAGTAACTGCAGTGATTGCTGCAGCAATAAAACTGCTTCTTGTCCCTTCTTTTCATACAAGACTAAGCTTGACAGTGAATAAGTTGGAAGAAATACCTCTTCTTGTAACATTGAGCTACCTCACACGCAGCTATTTGAAAATACACAGCTGAACTGCAGGGAAAGGTATTTAAATTTACAAAGCAAATCCCCAGATGCATGAGTGTTTATTTTTTATTTCCTTTTAGCCCTTCTAAATTCTTGTGACATTCAGGGATCAATAACAATCTCATCCGTGGCTGATTCTGACAGATGTTAATCTTTCCCTTGGCTTTGCAGTCAGCTTGAAATAGTACTTGTTTCTTCATGTCAGGCCTCTGGCAATGCTTACCGGAGTCAGAATTACAGTTTCTAGTGAATCCTATTTTTACTGTCATTAACTTTCTAAACTGTTCCCCATAGCTGGCAACATTTCCAGGCTTGGAGACATACTTAGTGGGAAGCTGGGAGAGTGATGGGTTGTTTCTGTCTCAAAGCATTGTGCCTTTAATTGAGGTTTGCTTAACTTTGTCATTAAGTCCATTTATGTTGAAGGCATTTCATGACAGTGATCACATACTGTGCTTGTAGAGTGGCTGCTTTTCTGTTGTGATTTACCTATTAATGAAAGGGAAAAATAGCTCCATGTTTACTTAAGGTTTTTACAAGTAGGTTTTTTTTTTCCTTCTGCTGACTTGGTTAATAGATTCAGGAAATTTCTGGATTGGAAGTCAGAGACATGGCTCACCTGCAGATCCTGTGCTGTGCTTTAGCTAAGGAATTAGCTAGATCTGTTTAGCAAACTACAGCTACTCTGGTTTTGGTACCTACTTGTCTAGATAGCAGTTGATACCACCATCAGAACTCATAAGCCCTGGGCTTATGCTTCCAAATTAGGGACAAATCTTGATCAGAAAGCAACAGGAACAGAAACATTTCTCTCCCAAATGCCATGGAATTGATGGTGAACAGAAAACAGTGGGTGCAGTATTGCTTTTTGTGTTTATCAGTTGTACGGGCTAATTTCCTTCTCTTAGAATGTGTTAGGGGTGACCCAAACCATGTGAGTTCTAGCATGAGTGTGGCAATGATCATTTTAGTCGGGGAAGCCAAATCCTCATTTCTTAATAAGAAAAGAAAGCTGATTAATCAGCTGCGTCATCCTACTCCAGGATTGGTATGACTGGCATTCCCTATGGATCAGCCTACACAGAGGCAAGTGCCAAACCATAATTAAGACTGACTGCAAGTTCAATGAAATGTTTCAAAATACCAAATTAAGATTGAGTGACTGAGTTCAATCAAATGTTTCAAAATATCACTCATGTTTTAGATAAAATAAAAAGCCAGGGATATTCTCAGTCAAGCAGTTAATTTCTTCCTGAACACTTAGAGAATCATGGAATCTACTAGGTTGGAAAAGACCTTCAAGACATCCAGTCCAACCATTGCTCAGCACTGCCAAGGCCACCACTAACCCATGGCACTGAGGACCTCCTCTACACTGTATGTGAACGCTTCCAGGGACGGTGACTCCAGCCTGATCACCCTCTGGGGAAGGAGTTGTTCCTAATATCCAGTATAACCCTCCCCTGGTGCAGTTTGAGCCTGTTTCCTCTTCTCCTGTACTTGTGATGTTCTTAATTTGAAGATTTTCACTATGACTCTCTTCAAGTAGAGGAACTTTATTTCCATTGTGCAGGTTTGCATTAGGTTCCACTGCAGTGTATAGACTGACAGATGGAACACGGCACCTTCCTTCTCTCACATTCTTCTTTCTGAATGATGCTGCAATGCTGCCTTGTTTCTGGGACAGATAATTTGCAGAGCCTCTAGGAATTAAAACAGGCTTTTAGAATATTTTAGAAAGAGAAACAATAGCAACCTACAAAACCTCTTGCAGATATTACTACAAGCAGCAAAAATCACGCCTGGAAGGGAAAAGGGGTATTTTAGAGAAAAGTCAGTGGGTTTTTTCAGCTATTATTTTTAGATAATCCCTAAAGAGTATTTCTGTGCATTTTGTTTCTTGCATGTAGCAAAAAGATGTTTCAAATAGGAGAAGCTAAAGACAGCTTATGTTAAATTTTCTTGCAAGAGTTTGTCTAGTTGAAATTAACAGTGATTGTTTCAATACTTGTCTAGTTCCTTGTGTGCCCCACGTTGTATGCAATAATAAAAACCTGATCATCAGCACATCCATAACTGACTTATCTTCTTTACTGCTCCCACATGGTTGCACAACTTTACTGACTGTTTGCTTTGATGAATATTTGGTATTTGTCATGTGAAGCTATTCCATCACTTTTGTAATTTGGGAAATTCCAGGCACACTGAACACCTTAACACCACGTCACAGCTCATGGATTATTCGAACTCATTTTGTGACCCAGTATGACACAGTAGTCTAACTACCAGCCACATAAAGATAAAAGTTGCAACACAGACATCTGGCTGCAACCATGCACCTGGATTAAACAGTTTCCCGTCTGGCTCTACTGTATTATGGAGCAAAGCAGGTGGTAGAACCTTAGGTAAGAGCTCTCATTAAAGAGTAAGCAATTGCTTTCCTTTCTTGTTTAGTTGGTTGTTTCTTTCCCCGGTGGATCAAGGTGATACATTTATCTCATGCCAATAATGCTTCACTCAACAAAAATGCTG